CCCGGCGCCGCCGGCCTCCGCCCCGGCGCCCACCCCGTGCTGACCGCGTGCTCCGCAGCGCCCGCCCTGTGCCGGCCTCCGGCACCAGAGGCCGCAAGCCCAAGACGTGACCGGCTCCAGGAACGGACTGCGTGACCACTACTTGAAGGGCCGGGGATGAGTCGCCTCTCCCGGCCTCTCCTCACTCCTATGGACAGCTCCGGGCACGGGGGGCTGGGCTCTAGCGCCTCCTGGTTCTTTGGGTTATTTTTTACTCCCTAATACCCCTGGCTGGGGCAAAAACAACCCCCTGCCTTGATTTCTACCCCCCTCCTTGATTTCTACCCCCCTTCCCTTTTTAACTCGATCTGGGTTTTTAAAACATGGCGACCAAATTTGCAGGACCCCCTCCCTGGCTCCCCACTACCCCCACCCCTTGTTTTCTCCAGGCCCGGAGCCCAGCGGGTGGTGGCGGTGCTGCCATGAGGGGGTGGGGACATACTAGGACATGGCACGGGGATGTGGTGGGCCTCTCTCTTCCCCTCTTACACGCGCACACACTTCCAGGTGTCTGGGGGATGTACACACTAGACTTCCAGGGTGCATGTATTTGCATGCTTACCTTGGGGTCTGGGCCACATACATACACATCCATGTGTCCAGGGGACATACACACACACATGCACATGGATTTCCAGGGTCTGTTCACACACTTACCTTGGTGTCTAGGTCCTGCACAGACATCTAGGTATCTAGGGTGCTTGTATATGCATGCACACTTACCTAGGGGTCTGTTCTCTGTTGCTCACACACATGCCCACATACCCCTAGGGAGCTAGGCCACACGCAGATGAGGTGGCTTGGGGGACTGACAAAAAATCGAGGCACGTGGGAGACGGGTGCAAAGGACATGGATGGATAGACAGTTGTACACACCCCCCCACACACGATACACACGTGTGTCTGGGCTGTTAAGAGACCTATAAAACGTAAAGCATCTGAGACCTGGACCTCGGCTCCCACACCCCCTCTGAGCCCAGGTGTACGGGAACTACATGCACACACTTTCAATCCAGGTCCTTAAGACACAAACATACCCCTGAATGCAGAAAGTCAGGGTCCACACACAAACACCCTGCTGCCCCCAGGTGGCCAGGGTCTGTACAAGCACCACACGTTGCTGAACCTGGGTGTCCAGGATGGACATGCGCGCGCACACAACCAAGATGGTTGGGGAACACTCCTGGAAAGCCCCAACTTCTCGGAGACAGACACCAGCCACAGGCATCCGCCCCCTGACCCCCAGAGGACCCAGGCGTCCGGGCCACACGTGCCGGAGGAGCCACCCTTTTTAACGATGGACGTTCTCAGCCTTCGGCTGGGCTAGCCCCCCCCTCAGTGTACAGCTCTCGATGTAAAATAGGTTCTTTTGAACATAATCTATGCAAAGGTTATTTTGTATAGGGGAGCACAGCTGGTCCCCCAGCCCCCACTGTGGGGGGGTGGTGGCCGGTCTCTGGGGGGTGGGGGGCCGTGTTCCCGCGGGGCTGTCTTTCCTACTGAAGCATGTTCAGAACTTGTACAGAGGTGCGATGTAATCTTTCTGCCGGATAATGCTATGAATAAAGTGTTCCAAAAAAAAAAGAGAAAGGCCCCCCAAAACTGCCGGTGGGTGAAGTGCGTCTAGCTCTGGGGCGCGGCACAAGCACAGGCTGCGTAGAACAGCGAGGCTGGATTTGCAGCCCCTCTGGGGATGAGCAGCCACAGCCAAGGCTGCCCTGGATGCCATCCCATATGGCGCCATCTATGTGGGTTCCATATAAGGGCAGTCTCTACCACTGGTCCAGCCATATAAGGTCAGGTTGTACCACTGGCTGTGCCATATAAGGGCACGCAGAGGGGCTATACCACCTGGCTATGTCATAGCCAGGCTCTCCCCCACATGCCATATAAAGGTGCTGGGGGGGGTCATACCACCTGGTTATGGCGTAGAAGGGCACTCAGGTGGGTTGTACCACCCCCACATGCCTCAAGGAAACTTGGAGGCGCTGTACCACCTGACTCATGAAAGAGCACTGAAGTGGGTCACACCACCCTGTGCATGCCATAGAAGGGCATCCAGGTGGGTCATACCAGCCCCTGGTGTACCACATAAGCGCGTTTGGTGGGGTCGTACCACCTAGCTGTACTACATGAGGGCATTTGGATGGGGTTGTACCACCTGGCCATGCCACAAAAGGGCATTCAAGTGGGTCATAACACCCCCACGTCCCATATAAGGGCATTTGGATGGGGTGCCACCTGGCTATGCCATTGAGGGGGCACTCAGATGGGTTGTACCACCCCCCACGTGCCATATAAGGGCATTTGTACAGGGTTGTACCACCTGGCTGTGGGTCATACCACCCCCGTGTGCTATATAAGGGTTGGAACCCCACAGCTGTGCCATGCAAGGGCATTTGGTGGGGCTGTACCATCTGGCTGTGCCACATGAGGGCACCTGGAGGGATTGTACCACCTAGCTGTGCCACATGGGGGGGTGGAGGTATTTGGACAGGTTGTACCACCTGACCATGCCGTATAAGGGTATTTGGTGGAGTCCTATCACCTGGCTGTGCCATATAAGGGCGTGGAGGGGCGGGCTCAAGCTGACTCCCCAGCACAGGAATGCACAAGGACCGGTTCCTGGGGGTGGGGGCCCCCCAGCCCTGCGCCCCACCCGGGCCAGGCCCGAGCCTGTGTGAACCCAGGATCCCTGCTCCACCCCGCAGCCCCCGCCCGCTACCAGAGCACCCAGGCAGCCGGGCTCTCCGCCCTCCCCACCCCGGGGAGCCCACCCACCCGCTCCCAGTCCGACCCCGACCCCGACCCCGACCTGGGCAGCATCGAGGCAGGAGGGAGGCGGCCGGGACATCCCCCCGCAAGGGGCCAGGTGAGAGACCCTATCTCCTTCCCTCCCCTCCCTGCAGGCAGGGGCAGGAAGGGTGGGGGCTATGGGGATACCCCCCCAAAAGGCACCACCCCAGGGCTCCCCGGTGCCTTGTTCCACTCTGCCGTTCCCCACCAGCTCCACCCCAGAGCTGGTCGCATCACAGCAGGTGACGGCCCTGATGGGGGCCAGGCCGCAGCCCCTACCCCTACTCCCGGAGAACCCAGGTGTCCGCGTCCCCCCTTCCTCTGACTGTCTCCCCTGCAGCCGCCAGCCCCA